ACAATATTAAAGAGTCAAATAAATTCCAATCTCGATTCTCTTCTATAGTTCCATAATGTTAATATTATAGATCTTGAAAGCAACTTAAATTCGTATTTATTATTAATTCTTGAAACTCAACTTTAATTGTCAACAAAATACGAGTACATGTATAGTAAATATTTCAATCCTCAAATATTAATTGCTAAACTATTAAACCTCTTGTTTTTGATTCTTGTTCTCTTTTTATTGCTCAATCATTTACATATATGAGCTTTTCAAAATCAGGAAATTTTTTGGCAAATTTTTTAGCCTTATCTTTTAAAAACTTTTTTTTTGCCTTAATAATTTTGGTGGTTTTATCATGTATGTGTGCATGTATTAGAAAAAACAAACAAGATACAGAAATACAGAGAAACAAAAATTAAAATATGAAAAACAGGTGGGGTAAGATGTGATAAAACAAAAACATTTGAATAAATTTGAATTAATTTCTTAATTTAATTTGACTTGTATAATACGATGATTAATGGAGAATTCATGTTTCTAATGGTGGTATAGGGTATGGGATGATCTTTATTAAAGTTTCATTAACATCTTCAATATAAAAAGTCAATAAATAATTAAAAATTTTAAAGTTTAATGTTTTTTTTAGATAAAAAGTTCGTGTTTAAGAATTCTTTATATTCGCAGTTTTAAAGTTGATTAATGAAGAATTGATATTTATTAAAGATATTAAAGAAAATTGATGATTTTCTGATGATGAATGTTACCCACATTTATAATTAAATAGCGATTTAATTGTATTAAAGTAATTGAAGGGTTTTGTAAATTTTCATGAAAAGAATGGGTAGTCGTTAACTAATTTCCTTCGGAACATTAAAAATTTGGTTCAAAGAATATACAGGCAAATCAAACTTGAAATAAAAATTTAGAATAATAAAAATAAATGAAAATTTTAAAATACTATTGGAGCATTTCACTATTTTATTGTGTTGTCGGAGCTCATTACTCTATGTATATTGAACGGATAGCTTAAATTTTGAAGGCAATAAAAAGAAAGTTTTGAAGTTCTTAATTAAAAGACAAATGTAAAATTTTAGTTATTCTTAACTAGTCAAATTGCAAATTGATTAAATATGTATAAAGAATGGGAATTAAATGGAAGTTGAGATATACGCCAACAATTTGCTTCACTGCATTCATCAAAATACTTAAGCTATGTGTATTAAGAATATGTGGGTTAAAGATGCAAATTAAATTTTTAAATTTTAAGCAATACATAAAATTATATTCAAATCCATTTCATTCGCACAAGTTTTTGTTATATAAATTGAACGTTATAAATCACTTCTTTTTAAAAGAGAATTCCATAACGTGGAAGCATAGGTTTTTGCACTTTATTTTCACAGATTGTTGAATATTTAAAAATAATTTACCGCTGAAAAAGAATTGAAAAATTTAATTGACAAAAGGTGAAGTAAATATTTATCGGACTGAACACATGTAAATAGAAAATATTATTATAATTCCAATGCTACCGCTAGACATATGTATAAACCAAAAAAAAGCAGAAACATTTGTCTGTAACAGATCTCAAAATTTTTAAAGAAATTTTGTGAAGGTTGGTTTTACAGAAATTTAAATCCCGAGTTTTCCAAGAATCAGTGCCTCAAATTCCACTCATACAAACATACATTATATTCTGATATATTTACAATTTGTTTTTTCGACTTAGACCGAAATCTTGAGTAAAACCCAAAATCTAAAATTGGATCAAATAAAAATGTTGGGCGGGTTCATTCATTAAGACTTCCGATCATCTGAAATATTATTGGATCACCGTGAATTACCATATTTTTTCTTAAAATTACCTTACAAAACTCTTTCAATTTTCGATTAATTTTCCTAAATTCTACACATTAAAAACTGTTTAAAAGTACACCAAATAATGTAAATATTTTTGAATTTTTTAAACAAAATTAAAGCGTTTGTGAAACTTTTATATTTCCTCTCGAACCAGATTAAACCCATCATCTATTTTAAAAGGTCATCATTACACTCATTTGAATTTATCAATATATAAATTCCTTCCTAAATTGATATTTCAAAAATTTTCTCATTCCATCGTATCCTTATATAAAATCACATTCATATAAACAAAGCTTTAAAAGCAACTAACACAAAAGCAACAAGCTACATCAGCTGAACAGGTAAATTTTTGTATTTGTTATATTTGTTCATTCTATGTTTTGGTTTTTTATCTTGATTTCTTTTTACATTTTATTTCTGCTCATTCAAATCCCGTTTTTGTATTTTGATAACAATAAATTGGTAAACAAAAGTAAAAGCAGATACGAGGAAAAAAACCGGATATAATCAACAAATCATATGTGAGAAAAGACCGTAAACAATTCGATTTAAAGATTTTAAAGAACCGCAATGAATACTATACAGGCCAGCATCAGTACCGAAAACAACTGAAAATTAAAAAAGGTGGTAAAAGAAAAAAAAAGCGGAAGTAGATCTTAGTTTACTTGTACAAACATCTCATCTCTTTTCCGATATAAATTCATTTTAAATGAAAGGTAAAAAAAAATAAAAATTGAATAAAATTTTCTCAATTAAAAATAAAAAAAATTTGTTTTTTTCAGCACAAAAGGGTTAAATAAGTGTTCACCTTTTTTCCATTATTGATACGAAAAAAATAAAAATTCCCAAGACCGTGCATATTTTGTTTTTCTCTTGCATAAAATATATTTAAAGATATTAACTGTTTTACTGTTCCCTTGTGTTCGATGTAAACTATATGGTTAATCTTGGAAACGGAAATTGATAGTAACATTGATTGCATGTGAAACGTGGTTCTAAGGCGAACATATGCACATGTTGTTGGTACGATTTTAAATTTTGAAATCAGAAAATTAATGCCGAAGCCGAAGAAATGTTAATCTTCACATTATCAACGAAAATGTGTTGGTCATTTGTTTTACGACACAGCAGTTTCCATTACCAAGTTTATAATAATAACGACTTTTTACTAATGTAAATTTGACAATTTTGAGTTTGAATATTGTGTCCAGCAACAAATATTTCAGCATTTCAAAAACTATGTTTGTCTATTTAAAATGAGGTAAACATTGAATCCAAAATTTTTTACATTTTCTTCATTTTTTCATTGAAAAAGTAAAAGGATTTTTTAAAGTTTAAATTTAAAAGAATTATTTAAGGTCTCCTCCTAAACTTATGCAAACTATATGAAATGAAATTGCTTTTCGGCTTGAAGCTACTGTAGTTGAGATAAAATTGAAAAAAAAGAAAGTTGGTATCCATGTTAAACGTCCTTGGATTATAATAAATTTAATTTTGGTGTCAGCAGGTGTAGGTGGTCATGTGAAACCCATTTCATATATGCAGTATAAAATAAACAAAAATAATATTGTTACATAATTATGTATGAACACAATTATTGCTTTGTCATCCATTAACATAACAATTTTTTGGTTAATATTTTAATGCTTCAACAAAATACAAAGAGCAACGTAAATTATTATTACGCATATTAAGTGAAGTTTTAATGTTAAAACTAAATTTTTTTCTATATGAGTGAATTCCTGTATTGCGAAATTTATATATATATACACTTTTCAATTCATAAATAAGCGTAAATTATGCTTTTTTTTTCAAAATTTAACAATAGTGTTGAAAAGCATTATTTTTGTTCGCCACTCTTTTTGTTTTACTTTTGCAGACAATGAACAAGTAATCTATTGTCAGCATGAAAGAGTTACCAAATGCATGCAATTAGTTAGTTGGAAATAATTTTGAGCGTTAGAAATTTTCGGAATTTTTTATTAAAGACAATATGTTTCTGTCAAATGAATGAATGAAGACAGACAAGATTTGTTGTAAATTTTGTAGATATGAATTTAGTGATTCTGAAATATTTCAGAAAGTTTGAAAATTTGTTACCAATGTACGTAATAACTGTTTGTTAAAAATATTAAAATCACAATTTGATGAAGAAGCGAAATTATTAAAAATAAGAGGAATCAAATCCAGTCGAATCAGAATTAATTAAATAACTTCTCTATTGAATTTGAAATTATTTTTTAAAAATGCTTTCAGCAAATACAATCATAATTCATAAATTAAAATTCGCTTATTTGTAAAGCACTTAAAATTTATGTAAAATAAAATTTCCGATATATACTTAATTATTAAAATTTAACGCTCATTTAAAGTTAACTATTAACTGCTGTATGCGACATACATATATTGTGCACACATATTCCAATTTAAAGATTCATATACGTATGTATACCTATGTATACATGAATTTGGTAATAAATTTATGAGTAAAATCAAATATAACCACCTTCTTTTTAGAAATATAGCAACCTTGGATACCACAACTATGTAATTTTCTTCTGTAACTTTTTTTTTGTTTTTGAATAAATATTCAAATCGAGTCGCGACTTTAAGTAATTTAAAATTCAGCGGAATCATAGAGGTTTTTAAATTGAATTTGTTTTTTAATTTCAATATAGAAGAAGAAATATGTGTATGAATTGAATTCCAAATAATTGTGTTTTGAATTGAGTTAAGGTTGTACGTTTTGACATTTTTTACATGATTACATAGGTTTGAGTTCTTCCTTCCTTAGAAAATTCGCAAAAAGTAATTAATGTCTTCTTTTCTTTTTAAGGAGTAGAATAAAAGAGGTTTTGAAGGTATATAATGAGGCAGAAATGAATCTAAGATAATAGATACCAGCAACTAAACAACTTAAACAAGGAAAACGTTATAACATGAAAAAAAATATTTGCAAATGATCTTAAGTTCTTGTGTATAGAAACTTCCGGTGAATAATGATTTGTTTGTATAATTACATACACAAATCAGGAAGTTGTCTTGATAATATTAAAAAAATAAGTCTAAATTTATATTTTCTTCTTGTTTTATAGTTGATTTGAATTTAATAAATAAATGAATTAAATGAATATGATAAACCAACTTACGCTGTTTGTGCTCTGGTCCTTTTTAAAACATCGCCATTATTTCGTACGGAATTCTTCTTATGCATTGTTTGTAAAGCGGAATTTCCGACACCTGTACCGACACCAGTACCAGCAACAACAATTGCACCACCGTGATGTGGATGCCCGCTAGGTATACCGATTGGAGCGGAAGCGATACCAACATTATTACCACCAACAACAACACCACCACCACCATGATGTAAATGATGATGATGATGATGTGTTGATGTATGACTAAAATGTGATTGTTGTGATGATGAATTTGATGCTATACTATTATTTGATGAAACACCAATTCCACTACCACCAACACCTACAATATTTGATGATGATGATGCTGCTGATGATCCACCACTTATTAAAGAGTTTTGATGACACATTTGATGTGAAGATGGCTGATGTTGATATATTATTTGTTGTTGCTGTTGTTGCGGTGGTGGAGCATAATGTTGTTGTGACGGTTGTAAATAAACATAACCACCAATACCACTACTTGTGGATTGTGATGATATTGAACCAGGTCCTGGTAAAGCGGTATACTGTCCCGTTTGGGAACGATCGATTACTTTTTGTGGGAAACTAAAACAAAAAATAGAAAATAAATTTATTGATAACGGCGATAAATTAAAGCACGATTTGATATAATGTAAAAATCTTCAACACAGAATGACAATGCAAGAGTTTTACAAATGTTGAACATTTTGTAGTAAGATTAAAGGAATTTATAATTTTAAAACAACTAACAAATTGAAATGGACCTCTTGAAATGTATTTTTTTTTGTAAAATGAAGATATTGTTTTGAAATTATTTGCTTACGAGAATTAAGCACCCAATAAATGCGCAAATTATTTTACCAGCAGAATTACTCGCAACTTTATAACCGTGTTTTAAACTGACTTCGAAACGATTGTTAACTTTATTTGAAGGACTTTTTATACCCACTACCAATACCACATTTTTTCAACTTTTTCGAAAAACCACAAAAATTGCATGCTTTCCAAACCTGTTTATTAAACATATCATCCAAAAAATTCATAAATTACAAAACATTTTTGGTTTTAGAATAAAAATACCTTCAATATCAAAGTATAAATTAGAAAAATCTGAATAAAGTTATGAGCCGTTTTATAAATTACACTTTAAATATTTACGCCACTTATCAAAAATTTCTCCATATAAAATTCATATGTTTGTTAATACAGTTGCATTTAATTTCGTACCAAATTGCAAAATAACTGTGACGTTGTGTGATATAATAATGGTAAACTTACGCAATTTTTGTAACTCTTCAGGTATAGGTGAATACCCTAAAATGATGTCAACTTTTCGAATCGATGTTTTTGAACTCATATACAAAAATAAAAGTCTATATGTATAAAAATGAATATAAAATAAAAATATAAATGCAAAATGAAATTGTGCAAGCGTAATTGGATAATTTTTCTTTTTTCATTTAATGAAAATTCACTATTAAAATTCTTTTTTTTTTTATTTTGTCTTTTGTTCTTGGGCACTCAAAATATGATTTATATAGAATAACTCAATTTCACTAAAGTTTTCGAATTCAACCATGTATTTCGTATATATTTTAGATTTCTCGTTTGTAAGTAAATTTTTATTACTTCAAATTTTATAAGATCAAAACTTGAAATGTGTATAACATTTTAACTTTTCAACAATAAAATTTTCGAAATTCGTATTTAATTTAGATTTTCAGTACATTTGAATCAAAAGTGACCCAACTATTTTAATTTACACATTTAACACTTTCAGTATACCCACTTAGCAATAAAATAAAATTTATTCAGGACAATTTCGAAATTTTAAAAATTTTAAGAACAAGCTATGTACATATATTCAAAAATATTAAATTTTTGTGACCTCTTTTCAAAAATTAATCACATTTAAAATAAAACTTTGTTATTTCGAAGATTCTGCAATATTTTCGTTTAATTAAGGAAAAATTTTATTTGATTTTTAAATTTCCATTGAATCCAATTTGATTTCGTAAAAACTAAGATTTAAAACTAAATGTAATTTATTTCTTTAATATGAAGAATTTTCCGCGTTAATATTGTTTTACTACGATCTTCACATCAAAAAACTCGACCCAAAACTAAAGCAAAAACGTACAAATAAATATGAAAAAACTGAAAAAAAGAAAAACAAAAACTAAAACTTCAAACCGAGTTCAAAACGAAAAATGCAAAAAAAACCTACAAATTTATCCAAACCTACTTTATACCGTTGTTGTCAAATTTAAAGAATAATTTAAAAATTTTTTTAATTTCCAGCCAACATAATGTAAGTACATTACACACACCGATACCATTGGACCATTATTACAAACAAATGAAAATATTTACAACAACAATAATTATGTTGTATGTAATAAAATAAAAGTTGTAATAATAGTAACGATGTTCATATAGAAGAAAAAACAAACCATAAGGAATAAGAAAGCTTATTGTAAAAGAGCGAAAATTACTGCAAATTTTCGAATGTATTATGGAACTATGAATAGTTGTAAATAATACGAATAATATAAAATATTTAATGATATTATAAAACTGGTAAGAAAACGGAATAAGAAAGAGGGAAATGACAGAAAATACAACATAACACAATTAAACTAACTTAACCAACATAAACGTACAAATAAAAAAGTAGTTGTCAATGAAATGAAAATTATTATTATTATAATTGCAATTGTATTCAAATATTTATATGTAGTAGTGTAAAATTATAAAGTAATAATAAAAAAAAAAATGATGTAGTCAGGGGATCTTCATTTTTCTGAAATATGTAGCAGAAAATTATACAAGTATACTGAAACGTTTTTGTATGAAATTTATTATACATTATCTATGCCACTGTAAATTTGCTAATTCTTTTGATTCATTTATACAATTACAAATATGCTTTTCGTGAAATAATAATTAAGGAAATGGTTCCAATATTAAGAAACATTTGATTTACTAGTCTGATTAATTAGTTTCTTAATTTCCAATTCTAGTATAAGAATCATAATGATAGTTCAGTAATTAAAATTTAAAAATTTACATTTATTACATTAATTTTTTAATACTGATTTCTGAGCAGTGACCTCAGTAGATATATTCGTTGATTATGAAAATTACTCGAAATTGCATTATTAGTATATTCCGCCAATGACATACTATATTTTTCTTAATTTCATAATATCGGCAACTGAGCTGTGACTGCAATAGATATACTTCTGTATACCTTTATTTATTTATAGTAATTGTGTCATCTGACTTATGACTGCAATAAACTTACTATAATTCAATCAATTTCTTAATAATGACGCCCGAACAGTAATGCTTCCATACAAACCATTGTTTCATTGATTTAGTAAAATTAGTGATTAAATTCTCAAAACTAGTATCTGTTAACCCCGAAGAAGAAGAAGAAAATCAAACAAGTAGCAAAATTAAAATTATAATTACAAAATTCGAAACTTGAAATTCAACGGTTTCCAAAAAGAAATATTGTTTAAATTGGCATTAATTCGTATTTTTATCTTTGAAATAATTTTAAAATCCATTTTTCTTCTAAATTCAAAATGTAACAAAGCTGCTACAATCGAAAGATGTTTAGAGTCATTTATAATATTGAAAACAGTAAAAGAAAAAGAGAGCTTATACATAAATTTATAAAATTATATTTATTAACGGATTATTTTTATTTATGCCTATTTTTTAATAAAAGTAAGAGTTAACGGTTAATTTTTCTCTCCATTTTTTTTAATTAAAATAACTTTATACGCAACTTATGTATCAAGAGCATATATGTACATATGCATATACATATGCATTTATATGCAGTAAGAGAGAATATCGTAAATATTAAAGATTATAAAAACATAAAAATATTTTAAATAACATTCGGGTTAATTACTTACGTTCACATAAAGAAAATCTTGAATGACATTGTAATTGAGTGCAAAAATTAAAATTTTACAAATTTTGAGGGGCAAGTTATCGAGAGGAGGTTGAGGTTGAAAAAAATTTTCTTCTAACGAAGTAAACTATTTCTTATTGCCTGCAACCTGCGGTCAAGAAACAAGACGATATCAAAAATTTGAAAAGAACGAATGTTAGATAACGGTATATTTTGGTCATGATAAGCTCAATTAAGATAAGCCGCGACAGAAGAAGCCAACCACTACTTTTCTGTGTTTGCAAAATTTGAAAAATTCTTATGGTTTCACTACAAAGAATTTTTAAAAATGGTGTTTTTCAAATCAAAGGTTTTTTGACGGGGAAATAAAGCTTTTAGGGGGGAATAGGTAAAAATTTTCTTTTACGAAAATAAGTTTGTATATATAAGCTTTCTATCTTCACGGGTGTAGAGGTTTTGTAAACATGTCCACGGACGGACCACATGAAACTCATAAGCAAAATAAGTAATTCTTTTTTCAAAATTTTTTTGGAAAAGTGCTAAAAATTAATATACATACTATATACGTACATATTATATTATGTATATAAAAATACAATTATACCCATTCATTATAGCCGAAAGTACATAAATGTATATTCATATATGTATGTATATGCTATTCCATAAATAAATATTGGGCCTGAATATTTTGTTGCCCAACAAAATGTGGCATCAATATATTGATTATAATATTTGCAGTATTGTGTGCATGTATGTAAATATTTACATTGCATAAATTTTTAAGAATAACTAAAGAAAAGAAAATGTTTGAATTTTTAAATTTTATCTAATCTCTAAATCAAATAGCGGTATAAATTCTTCACTTAAAAATCGTTGAATAAAACCTCTTTAATTTTTTTTTTATATTTATGAGCTGATTAACCTTGAGAAATTTAAAAAAAAAACATGAAATTCAATAACTTATTTCTATATATGTAAGTATGTTTGTTTATATTTGTAATAAAAAACACGAAATTTGATAAGGTTAAGCAGAAAAAGAAGTCATTTATTTGACTTTTTGTTTGGAAACATCAACACTACCTAAATAATTCAAATACTTAATTTAGAAAAATATTTTTTACAAGCATTATTAATTTAATAAAATACTGTTCTAACTCAGTTAATAGATTACTTATTTGGAAAATATGCACATGTTTATGTAGGCATACATACTTGTACATATGTATGTACTCGTAGGTATAAGAGCATATGCATAAAATGTTAACAAAGGGTTAATAACAATCATATTAGAAAATCTATCAATTAATCTTTTTAATGACACTATTGACAATTATGTTGTATAAAGTTGTATTTTCGCCTTGAATGTTAACATTGTACAAAATTAAACTTTTACATAACCATAATAGTATGTTTTAAATTTTTAATAAAATATAAAAATTATGTTGAAAAATAATAAACAATCTTCAAGCAATAATTCAAATTTTTTGAAGATTCGAAGTTGGAATGTAGATATTTGGATTAAAAATATGAAAGAAAGGTAAATAAAGGAATACTTAATTATTATAAAGTTATAATATTAACCCTTTAATGTTGCTTTTAGTTATACTTAAAATTTTTTATGAGCAATATTGATCGCATTCATGTCACTAGC